CTACAGCATCAAAATGAGCCACTACCATTGATTTTAGCAAGGCCTCAGAAGCAGCTGTAACAGCAAAACTAGAATCACTGTACCCTCAGCAACCTAATATTTGTTAGGAAAAAAAAATGAAGTTGTGGGAGATAGATACACTTTTCCAAAAAAAAAAATCCCCAGCATGTAAATATAGAGACAGCAGAGGCAGCAGAACCTGAGAGGCAGCATCTAGTCTAAAAAACACCTGTAAAAGCGCATTTTGTTACTACTATTGCCATTTTTTGCCTGTAACAGTAGCAGGTGATGAACTCATATGCTACACTGTATAGAGCTGTATCAAGCCATGCTGCTGAATAGCTGAGTGAAGTCTACACTCCTCTGGTAACAATCTTCAGCAGAGACTTGAAGTATTTATGATTGCAGACAGTACATTAACCAGGACACTGCTTGAACAAAGTCTCTCTTGCTCAAGTTTTAAAAATAAGTTTTAAATATAGAAAGCAGAAATTACATAGAGGTTTCTGCCATTACGTTCAGCAAAACCTCACTTTCAAAACCGTCCAATCTGCAAGAAAATACCTCTGGTTTTTCTGTTTGCACACAGACACGTTCAGCTGCAGAACACAAAGCGAGAAGGCATTGATCACTGAAATTTCACACCGCACTCCAGGTAGCCCAAATATCCATATTTTCTAGAGAAATACACACACAAACAGATATTTTGCACCTCATCAGTAATATGAGATTAGAGAACAAATACAATGAAACAACAGGGTAAGAGCAATCACAGCCAAATGCTACAAAAAATGCTTCCAGGATCCAACCTGCTGTGCGGGAGAGCTCTGGATCCTACAGACTGTTCAAAACCCTGCTGTCACTCAGAGCAAGCTGCTCTCACACCCTCACACACAGCGGGTCCTGCTGTGACAGCTCCTAACACCCACCCACTCACACCTCCACCACCATCAAGAGGTGATGCTGCTTTCACAATGTGATGGTGCTGCAAAGTCATTAAAGACCTCAAAAATTTACAGTCAAGCAGTAACACAGCCCAGGACAGGGCCTCCCACCGTGGAGATATCCATTCTTCTGGATACCCACCACAGCTGAAGTCCTTTATGGGTAAGTTTAGAGATATCTGAGACAAGAATGCCCCTCAGTGGGTGCCATTAGGCTGCACGGCCAGGCAAGATCCAGCTACATGCTCTTTTCTGCAAAATAATACCATCTACTAAACACTGGAAATCTTAGTGGCAAAGGGGGATGTGTGCAAGACCAGAGGCACAGGCACTGTAGAACATAGAGCCCGTTCTCTCCAGGTGCACATAGCAGGAGACGATGCCTGCAGGAAGCACAAACGGCCAAACGGAATTCATCTCCCCACCAGGAATATGTCAACTGATCAAGGAAATTTAGTTCCCTGCTCAAACAAACCACTGCTATGTCTATTGTATCTCAGGGATATAATGTTACCAGTAGTTAGTTACACCTCGAATCAACAGTCTGTAGTAGGAGATTCTTTCAGAAATGTTTACAGGAGTAGCGAGGATCACGTGGTGTTGGTTCCTTCATTTTATTTTTAGCAGAGAGAGAAATGGCACCAGACATGTCAGTTAATAAACCAAGAACCAGAGGAACTCTCACACAGTCAAACACTTTCAACGAGAGTAGTCTCCCACAGCTGCAGATTAGAACAGAACTTCATTATGGATTAATTCTAGGCTTTAAGAGAGGACTCTGCTGGCCTTCAGTACTTTTAACATTCTGCAAATGGTATGATTCTGGTAAAGCAAAAAACATACCAGGAGCCCTACACACATGTCCCACTCGTTCCTTACACCCACCTACTGGAAGCAGCCATCCTTAGGGATGAAATATCTGGCTCTGGATTTCCCTGTACCTCACCTTCCTCACTGCCATCACCCAAACATCACACTCCTACAAGGAAACAAAGAGAATGAAAAGCAACAATGAACCTCATGCGAGCTCTGCACATTCTGCAGCCTGAAACCATCAGGGTCCCCGTGGAGAAAACAACTCATGAATGCAAAATTTGCATAACACCCATCAGGAGGGGCACAGATGTGCCCTAATCCAAGAACTCTCTGCTTCCGAGTTCTCAACACTGCAAATCAAATGACTTGAACATACTTTGTGGGTAGCAACTAAAACCCAACAAGCCAGCAAAGTGAAAGTGAGGTAATAAGGCATCAAAAATTACATTAAAGGAGCAAAATTTCAGCACAAGAATTCTGCCAAAACCAAGTCCACCTGCTCCAATTCCTCAGCATCTGAGTTCAAGCAAGACCTATGGCACTCAGACCTTCTGTGGCTGCACCCATCTTCCCCAGCACTGGAGTCCGGGGCCCACTTCTCCTTCCAACTAGACATAACACAGTTCAGGATCTCTGCAACTTACAAAGGGCAGGAAAGCTCTACAGACAAGCTCATATCAAGATGGGAAAGAACAGAGATATTCAAGAACAACCACCCATTTAAATTTAAATGTTCCTAACCCAACCTGAGCACAAGGCAGCAAACCAGCAGCTGCCAGCCATCACTGCTTCACCACCCCTGGAAAAAAAACAAGACCCAAGAACATTTCCTTCTCCACAACATCTGTCAGGAGCTGCTGGGAACTTCAGACATACTTAAGGGAAGATTAACTTGACACTTAAAGTAGCTTGGCTTCAGAATATGCACATCCCTCTTTACAACTGAATGGCACCTGAGCAACCTCTGTCCTGTTTGGGGCAGTTTGGGAGCAGGAGACTGCCAGGGCTATTAACAAATCCTCATGCAAAACAATACCTGCCACCACCCCTCCTGCCCAGAGGCATTACTTTGCATCCCACTAAAGACTAAACCAAATTCTGGTCCTTGTGCTGGAAGCACTCTTGATATTTCGGAAATCAGCCTTTTCAAAGCAAGATCTAGTGAAAAATTCAAATCTTGCAAGGGGCAGACAGAGAGACTGGAGATACACACACACTTCTTCCCTCTCGGCAAAACAGGAAGTTTGAGCAGCAGTGGCACACTCAAAATCATGAGCTTCAAAAATGAAAGCTCTGAGATGGTCTCACTGTAAGGTGGAGGAGCCCCATCATCAGGCAAAATAAAGGTGATACCTGAAAGACTAGCCTAGCTATGACAAGCCTAAAAACACCTGTGCAGAACTCCCAGGGATTTGTGGTAGTTGTTTTGGGGTGGGTTTTTGTTTCAAGTTTTAGCAGGCTCTCAAAAAAAGGTTGATTCCAGTTAACCAAGCACAAATGAGACAGGAATTAAATGACTACATGAATACATGACCTGAGGAGCAAGCCTGGTTATTTCTAGCTACTATGTCATGTTCAACAATTAAAAGATTTTAACTGTCTCACTGGTAACTTGGCACAGAAGAAAATCTTTATCTCCTCCCATTCCACAGGCAGTGGGACTAAAACGAAGGACCACTCTGATTAACAAGCACTTACTAAAGACAAAATGCAAAACGTGAGGAAAGAAAGATCCTGGGTTGCCTAAAAAATGCTTTTCTTCTTCGTAGAGTTTTTTTCTTCTGAATGCAGTTATGCTTTTAAGTCACCAGAACAATTCAGCAAGGCTAACTATAGCAGGAAGGCAGTTTTACTGAAAAGTCAACTCTCCTTGCATATTCAAAAAACAGGCTCCATCACTAAGATAGTTTTGTCACCGTACTAGCTGCAGTTCTGTGGCCACCGATAGCTGAAGCAAGTGTTGTGAAAGTACCTCTGCGAGCTTCTGTTTACAAAGTGAGACCCTCCCACAACCGCATCACCGAGCACATGTCTGCGAGAGATCCCCGCTTTGCTCTGCAAAACAAAGCTGAGGATATGCACAAACCTCAGACCCACAGCAGCCTCTCACCACCAAAGACAAGACTCCGGGATTCTTCCCAAGGAAAGCTCAAGAGTATCCACGAGCTAGAACTCTACCACAAACAAATGAACCTGCCAGCAGCATCCTCTTGGAATCACCACTTCCCTGGGCACTCTATGACAAGTGCTTCCCCACCTCCCAGAGCACACACCAGGAATGCCGGATGTTCCCAAAGGAATAGAGTCCTGATCCCCAAGTGCTGCACGCCGCAGCAGGATCTGTCCGGCATCTGTGGCTCTACTGAAATTAAAAAGAGCAAGATGGTTTCGATATTACTGCTGTCAAATGAGTTAATCTTCAAACCTCGCACCAATATGTAAAACTCAGAATATCCTCCATCAAGGAACCTTAAGTTTGCAGAAACATATTTTAGGAAATATGGAAAAAAACCCTCTGAAAATCTGCAGGAAATATACATACATAGCTGAAAATAATAAAAAAAATCATGCTGAGAAATATCCCTTATGCTTGGGTTCAGAAGAAAATTACACCAAAAAAAGAAGTTTAATGCATCTACCTCCTTTCAGAACTCTTGAAGTTCGATCAGTTTCGCTTCTTATTGAATATATTATTAAAAAAACTAAAGGAATTTGTGAGTGTAGAGAGAAATTGGAAAGGAAAAAAAAGTCAGCCTGAATAGGAGGCAACGTTTGTTGCCCGCGAGGTCTGTCATGCCATGACACGGCCTCTCCCCGGCCACCGCCAAGGTCTCACAGCTCGGGAACCTCAAGCCGGGCCAGACAAAGAGCCTCTGACAGCGTTACAGCCGGAGCGGGCAGGAGAGAGGAACGCTCTGCTCCTCATCTCCACTGCACTCAAAACCAACCCTGTAAGAAGGCAAAAAACTCCACCGAACTCCGCAGCGAGTTCCCGGGCGGAGGAGATGGTGCCTCTTATTGCTGACGGGAGAAAAAGCGGCGGGGGGAGCGCGGGCGGCCGCGCCGGGACACAGGTGCGCGGCGAGCGCGGTGACAGCCCGGCAGGGTCCCCTCGCTCGGTAAGATGGCTCCTGCCCTCGGGGTGCCGGGGCGAGGGAGGGAGCGCGGCCGGCCCGGCCCCGCCGCACCGCAAAATGGCAGCGGCCGCGGCCCCCCCGCCCGCGCCCCGACGGTGCTTACGAGCTGCAGGGCCGCCGAGGACTCCGGCTTCTCCCCGGGACCGCCGTCCGGCACCGGCTCTCCCGGCTGCAGGCGGCTGTCGGGGCCCCGCTGCGGCCCGGGGCGGCCGCGGCTCCGCGAGCCGGGCTCTGCCGCCTCCTCCTCCTCCTCGTCGTCGTCGTCGTCGTCGTCCTCCTCCTCTTCCTCGTAGTCGTCGTCGTCGTCGTCGTCGTCGTCCTCCTCCTCCTCCTCCTCCTCCGGCGTCTTGGCGCCCTCCTCCTCCTCCTCCTCCGGCGCCTCCTCTCCGCCGTCCCGCAGGAGCAGGGGGAAGGCCCGGGCCCCGCGGGGCGCCTCGGCAGCCGGGTCCTGCGGTGCGGGCAGGCGGGGGGGCGGCGAGCCGGGGTCGGGCAGGGCTTCAGCGCCGTCGGCAGCGCCGCCGAGGTACTCGGCGTTGATCATGGAGGCCAAGTCCTGCAGCCGGCGCAGCGGGATGTAGCAGGACGACGGGTCCTGGCCGTAGCCGGGCTTGGCGGCCGCTAGCTGCATGGCGGGCGGCTCGGGGCCGCGGGCCTCGCCGAAGGGGCCGCCCTTGGGCTCGGCGGCCGCCAGCGAGGTGCCGAAGGGGACGAGGCAGCTGCGGCGGCTCACTTCGCAGGCCTGCTCCATGCCGGGCGGCGGGCATCCACCTGCGGGCACAGCACAATGGGGTCAGCCCGGCCCGCACCGCAAAATGGCAGCCGCGCCCGGGGGCCGCGCTCCGCTCCGCCGGCCCCGCTCCGCCACCGCCGCGCTACAGGCCCCAAGGCCGCGGCCCGGCCGCCCCGGCTCGGCTCGGCACCGGGGCCGCTCGCCCTGCCGAGAGCTGACACAGGGCCGCCGCTCACCTGCGGGTGCCGCGGGCGGCTCGGCGCCTGCCCCCGGAGCGGGGCGATGGGGAGACGCGCCGACCCGGCCCGGCCAGGCCCCGCCGCCGCCGCTCCGCCGCCTCCCTCCTCCTCCCTCCCCCGCATGCGCGCGCCCGACGCCGACGCCGCCATCCCGCGCGGGCGCGCGCGCGCGCCCCCACCCTGCGCGCCCCCGGTGTTGGGGTTCGGCTGCCGCGGCCAATCAGCGCGCGCGCGCCCGCGCGGGCCCAGCTCCTCACCCCCCCCGACCCCCCCGCCCCGCGCGCGCGGCCCCCCCTCGACGGGCGCCCCCCCACCCACCACGGGGGGGAAGGTGGGGAGGGGGCGCTCAGTGCTGCCCCCCCCCGGCGCGCCCCGGCCCGGCCTGTCCCGCTCCCCGCATCACCCCGCCCGGCACCGCGGACTCGGGCCCGCCGACCGCACCTCCATCGCAGGCAGCGGCGGGGGGCACCGGGCAGGATGGGACGGGGCGGCCCCGCAGTGTCTCGCCTGCCGGTTCCCACCCCCCCACCCCCCCGCCAGGCAGGCCGCGAGCCTGCGAGCGGCGGCGGAGCCCAGGCCAATAAAATGGAGTCGGCCAGGCCCTGCGCCCCGCCGGGGCACCCGGGCGGCGGCGGTCCCCGCGCCCCGCTCGGCCCCGCTCCCAGCCCCGGTACCCAAGGGCGGTCAGCGGGACGCGGGGCGCGGGTCGCCGCCCGCCCCCGCCGGGCTCGGGTTACCCTCTGCCATTGTCCGCCGCGCCCCGCGGGCCGGCCTGGCGCCCCCGCCGCGCTCCCCCGCCGCCCTCCCGCGCACCAGCGGGCCGGGCCGTCGCCCTCCGCGGGGCTGCCGTGCCGAGCCGTGCGAGCCGTGCCGAGCCTCGCCCGCCGGGGAGAGGCGCCGGGTGCCCGCGGCCTGGTTTGTCCTCGCCGGGCTCCGCCGCTCCCGGACAGCCGCGCTCCCGCCCGCCCTCCCGCCGCCGAGCGGCGCGCACCGGACCCGCGCCCGCCCGCTCCGCCGGGACGGGCCGCCACCGCCGCCCCCCGCAACCGGCCCGGCCCACGGCCTCGCGGCGGGCGGCGGCTCCGTCGCTACCTCCGATGCGGGCCGGGGTCTCCGCCGGCAGCCGCGCGGGTCTGGGCGCCGCGCCGCGCCGCCGCCGCACCGGCACGGCTGGGCAGGCACGGGGCGGGGGGCAGCCGGGGCAGCGCGGGGATGTGGCACCGGGGCGGTGCTGCCAGGGCCGCGCGGGGGGCAGGGCCGGGCTGCCGCCCCCCGGGGTGCCGCCGCGGGGCTCGGTGCGGCGCTGCCCGGGCGGCCCCGCTCCCCCCTCTGCCCTTTGTTTCCCCCCCCTCCCGCCTGTCCCCGGCCCGGCCGTGCGAGAGCCCCCGGGCGTGCTGGCGCCGCACTCCCCCCGGCCGGGCTGGGCCCCCGAGCAGCCGCTCTGCACACCCAGACAGGCAGCGCCCACTGCCCAGCCCTCGCTGCCCCGCGGGCGCAGCTTTCCCCTGCTGAAGCGCCATCCTCGATTGGCTTCAGCATGGCACCTCAGCGGGGTAGTGAGGTCTTGCCTCCTCCCTGCCTGCGCACCTTGGCAGCCCTGCCGAGGGCTCCTGGTTTCCCCAGAGCCCTTTGGCCTTGCCCAAGCACTCCCTCTGCCCTATCTGTGCCTGGCGATACAATAATCATTTCTCCCAGCATTTGCCCCTGAAGGGTCACACGGAGGTCCCTGACCCATTGTCACTTCACTGGTGTGCTACCACTGTGGAGAGATTGCCATGTTCAGCTCACACCACTTAAGCATGCCCACGGAGGGTAGGGTAACTTGGCAGGAAGTTTTGCTTGTGACATGTTTGTACTTCTGAGGTCCCAGCCCAGTGCTTGGCTGGTGGCATCTGACCCGCCATGGGCCTGGTGACCATGTGCTGTGGTGACACGTGAGAGCTGGGACCATGCTGTGCCCAGTGCTGCATGGACTCGGCACTGATTCCCAGTGGCCACGTGGTTCTCCCTACCCACGCAGAGCTGGGGCACCACCCAGCGTGGCTGGGGTCCCTCTGTTTACACCTGAACAGGGAAATACCTATGGCACAGTCCATCTTCCCCGATGGACTCTAGCGGCAGCAGCCACACCCTGGCACACCCGGGCAAGGGCCCAGCAGCCAATTTTCCTCCTTTCTCTTTGGAGCAACCTGCCATGCACGTTTCTGCCACGTTCCGTTCCCAAAATAAAGCTAGTGGTTTATTTATACACCCCTGGGGGTGGGCAGGGCCCTACGCAGGGCGGGATCACCTGCTGTCTCCCCAGAGCCTGGTGCCTGAGACCCAGTGAGAGAAGGCTGACCTGGGGAGAGGGTTAGGTCTGTTTCCAAGCAGGGGAACTGTATCCTGGGTCCTGAGTGTCACCAGCTGCCCTCACTCTGCTGATTTGCCACCTCTTAGTGGGGGGGGGCAAAGGGGTCACCTGCAGGACATGTCCCATGCTTTCCCCCGGGAGCCCTCTGCCCATGGGCCATGGCACAGCACATCCCCACGGGACACTGGTGGGCAGGGGCTGTACCACTTCGGCAGCGATGCCCAGGCAGCTCTGTGCACCCCAGGGCATGCCCACATTCCTCTTCCCCCATGGCACATCGCTGACAGTGGTGGCCCAGTGGGGCCCCACAGCGATCCACCTGCAGCTGTGTGGTTTTTGCTGCAGGGAGGAGGGGAGCAGTGGTGGCAGTGGGATGCGCTCAGACACACTGCCCATCTGCTGTGTCACCTCTGCCCGCGCCATGGCCAGCGCCCGCAGGAAGGGCCCTTCTCCGGCCCGTCTCTTCCGGCGGAGGAGCAGGGAAATGGCATCCCGGCCCCTGCTGCCCGCTCCCGCCCGGATGTGCGGCACAGCGGGCAGCGTGGCCGGCCCTGCCGCCGCGGAGCTTTGTCTGCGGGCTGCGGCGGGAGCGCGGGCGGCCGCAGCCTCCCCGCCACGGGGTTCGCCCTTACCCCGCACCCCGCGGCCACCCCCAGCCCAGCACGGCTCGCCACGCACGCCGGGGCCCCGCAGCCAGTCAGGCCGTTGGCTGCGGAGCCTCCCGGCACTGCAGGCTCCCTCTGCAGGCCCCGGTGCCCGCGCACAGCCCGCAAGGTGCCCCCACGGGGATGGCCCGGCGCCCGCGCTCCCGGCGGGAACGCGCATCCCCCGCCCCGCCACGGCCGCTCCCCGCCGCTGCGACGATGCCGAAGGCAGAGTGGCCCCTCACCGGGGGCTCCCGCTCGGTCTCCCCGGAGAGTGGGGGCGTCACAGCTGGCCGGCGGGGAGGCCCTGAGCTCAGTGCGGAGGGAGCTGCGTCCCCCGCGGGAGCGGTGGGCAGGGTGGGCTGGCTGCCAGGCGCCCCCGGCAGCGGCCCTTCCGCGGGGCACTACAGGGAGGCGATGGACGGCGGGCGGGCTCAGGGGGAACGCGGCCCCGGGGGGCAGCACCGCGGTCGTGCACAAAGGGCCGGGGGCGGTGGCTGGGAGCAGTGGCCGTGGGGCTGGAGCACGGCCGGGAGCGTGGGCGAAAGGGTTAAGGAGTCGCGGCGGGCAGGGGGAGGGCTGGCCCGGCCGAGGGAGAGGAAGGAAGCAGAGGAGGAGAGGAGAGGAGCGGAGAGCATCCTGCCCGGAGGGTTTGCCGGGGGCCCCTTTCCCCCAGGAAGCGGCTTGCGGGGCTTGAAACCGCCGGGATGGAGCGCAGGGAGCCGGGGCGGCGGGCGGGGCTCAGCCTGGCGCTGTGCCCGCAGGCACGCTGCCCCGGGCCGGGTGCCTGGCGCGGGGGCTGCTCCCCTTGCTGGGGTGACCCCGAGCTTCCCGGGCCCCTCACCTCACAGTCCCCCTGCCGTGCTACTCCCATGGCCCCCCGAAACCTTGGGAGGGGGACAGCCCAGTGTCACACAAGGGCGGCGGGTGCGGGCCACGAGCTGCAGGGGCCAGGAGCCATCACTGCCGAGCAATCCTGCCCTGCGTGGAAGAGCTGTCGCTGGGCTGGTGTCACCTGGAGGCCAGTCCCCGCGCAGCAGCCATATGCAGCATGGGGATAATCCCTGAGGGCCCGAGGCCCAGGTTGCCTGCCTGGGTGCTGCAGCTGCTGTCAGGGACCTTCCTGCTCCCCCAGCCCTCAGGCTGCCCCCAGTCCCCAGCTCAGGGGGTGTACAGGGCCCCCAGCCCTGGTCAGCGAGGCTGAGCCCACGCTGGGCTTTGCTCCACCCACCCAAGGTAGAGCCAGGTTCACCAGGCTCCCGTGCCTATGGGTGTCCTTCTTGCACTGGTCTTGTCACTCGGAGAGACACAAACGGGATTACGTATCGAGACACGGCACAGTTCTGCAGCCCAAGCCCCTACCCTGCCCCAGTCCTAGCCCCACTCCCAGCCCCATCCATCTGCGTGGGTGATGGAGAGCAGAGCCAGGACACATTCCCATGCTGCAGATCATTTTTCCCAGGCGCTTTTGTCACCCTTCCAACACAGTCCCGAGGCTGTCCCGCCACGAAGGCCACTGTCACCAGCCGAAAGGCGGGGGGGCCGCCCGCCTGCTCCCATCTGCCCGCCCCGCGCAGCTGCTCCCGCCGGCCGGGAGATGGGGCTGAGAGCCCGCGGCTTTCCGCAGCACCGGCGGGAGGGCGGAGAGCTGCTGGCTGGGGAGACCGCAGCGCCTCGCTGGCACCCTCAGCTTGGCCTGCCCGGCTGGGGCTGGAGGTGCACAGCCTCGGCTCTGCCGCTGCGGGGAGGGAGCGGGGGGTGCATGAAGAGGCGTGCGGGGTG